TTATTAGTTATTATAGCATTCTCCTTGATATACTTCTTTCTTTCCATAGATGCTTGATCTTCAAGATAACTTCATGCAATCTCGTTTGCTTCTCGTTTCTTCGTATGAGATCATCAGTATTCTTCTTGAGTTGGGGCGTGTGGGCTTATTTAAGTACACATATCATATGCATACATCTCATTCTTCTTCTTCGTATTTTTCCCTTTTTCTATATTTGTTAATTTTTCTTTCATGGTCTATGACACGCCTAGACTTAACAAATAAAATTGGGGATTCTAAAATACAATTTGGCATACCAAAATCTATTACAATATATTCCTAACACAGCGAGTGGCCGGCGGGCCGTCGCCTGCTCGCCGGCTGCCCGCTGGAACAGTACATCCGGGCAGCGGGTAGGTGGCGGGTGGTCATCCCCCCAACTACCCCCCACTGGTACATAGGCAACTTTTTGGTCCCGGGATCGCTCGTGGAACCCGAAACCATGTCCAGACACATTCAGACACATAACCACAACACCACGGATAATTAACGGAATTAAATCAAGAATCGTACCACATATGTTCTAACACGATTCCTAAACATGCCAAGACTCCACATTAAGCACATGACGGTTCAGGAGCATCCGGAACCACAAGAATATCAAGAAATCTATATGCAAAGTCCTAAATACAAGTTCTAGGCTAGACTCAACACCCGATCATACATAATCCCACCCAAATACACCAAGAACATCAAAATACGAAATCCACGATATAAACCCTAGGGCTCTATACATAATTAAAATACAAGATCATACATATAATCAATCACGATATCAAGAACATCAAGATTATCAAATAAGCACAATATAAACCCTAAGCAAGGCTCTATCAAGACTCAATCGCAGAATTACACATACGATTATCAAAGGAGCCAATGAATAAGATATAGCAATGAAAATAGGTTTTGTCGAGACATGGGTTACCTCTTAGCCCTAATCAATATCCTTGGCTACTAAGGTTCTTCTCTAAGATTCTTCTTCCAATAGATCTTCCTAGGCTTGATGGTGGGGGATTTCCCTGGCTGGATCACCTGAGAGTATTTCGAGTGAGGGAGAGGAGAAGGAATGTTCTAATTGCTTTCTAATCCCCTATTTATACTTTTAAGGGAAACCTATTCAGAGTCTAAATAGTAATGGCCCGTTTCTTTATTCCCTATGGGCTTAAGGTTCCTAGTTCAGGTAAAGGTCCACGATCCATTGTGGACCATCCGGGTTAATTAGGATTATTATAATTGTATTAAATCCCTCTTAATTACTTTAATTAACGGAATTAATTTAATAATTAATTCGGGTTTGAAAGTCGTAACACGGGGTGTTACACAAAGGAGATCAGTCAAAGAGCTGAAGTATGGGAAGCAATTCCAAAGTTGAAATTGGAAAGCAGTTTGAGAAGCAATTGAAATTGGAAGAACGAAGCAATTGAAATTGGAAAGCAATTTCAATTGGGTGACAATTGCAAGATGAAGTTGAAATTGGGCAGAGATTTCAACCCTTGGCAGAGATCTCAATCCCATGGGAAGAGATTTGCAATGGGCGAAGGTTTCAAATCCAAAATTAGCAAGGGATGAAGTTGCAAGTCTTTATATAGCATGGGATGAGATTTCACTAGCTAAATATAGCATGGGATGAAGTTCCAATACTAAATATGGAAAGGGATGAAGTTTGAAGTCAGATTAAATTAAAGATGGATTCTGAAGACAGTAAGCGTGAATTTGAAGAGGAATCACAAGCAGAAATCGCAGAAGAAAAATTACTAGTCCAAACTAGTAAGGGATTAAATTGAAGAATATTTTTCAAGATTAAAATCCCAAAGAGGCGTGATCTACATCAAAGAAATTGAAGAAGCCATTTTTTCGTGAACATGAAGCTTAAGAATTCCCAGAAGGCGTGAACAACATCAGATGAATTTTTGGGAGCCTATTTGCGTGAACTTGGAGCTCAACAATGACGGGAATATTTTCTGACACAATGCCAGAAGGTAAGATAAGATCTCTGAAAAAGGATACAAGAATTCAAATTTGAGATTGTCTTTTTCCAACGGATAAGTTATCAAAACAGCTATAAAAGGATAAAGATTTGAAGACTTGAAGCAGAGTTCCAGTGATTGAAAATAAGAGCAGTACATATGAACAGAGTGCAAAATTCAAAAGTGAGAAAAACACTCAAGAGATACAGAGCTTGCAGAGAAATATCAAAGAGTGTTAAAATCTTCATCACAACAGAGACTTGCTGCACATTGAAGATCTATATCAACGAAGTCTCAAGTTGGAAGCAAGAGAAACTTGTTTTTCTACAAACAAGTGAAGTCCATACGGAGTGTAGGAAGAAGATTTTCACAAGGAGTTGTGAAATCTTGGTTGGCAGTTCTACCGGAGTGTAGAAATGGAAGAAAGTAGCACGGAGTTGTGAAATCATGGGAAAGTAGCACGGAGTTGTGAAATCCGAATTGTAGTTCTACCGGAGCGTAGAAAGGGGAAGAAAGTAGCACGGAGTTGTGAATCATGTAGCAGTGTTGTAGGCACTGGGTTGGGCGTGATTAGTGCGAGCTTGGTGATCAAAGCACTAGATTACGGAATTCATTGTATCTTGGAACCAAGAAGTGGTGGATATAGTGAATTGCTCTTGGAGATAAGCAAGTGGAGTAGGAGGATTACGCCACCTCCGAACCACTCTAAATTTCTTGTGTTCTTTACTACTTTACTTACTACTTGTTTGCTTCTCACGTGGATATACTTGACACAATCATCACAGACTTATTTTATTATTCCGTTGTGCACAAGACTCTAACAATCGGTTAAGAGTTTTAGTTTCTCTGTTGCCTTAGCAACTGTTGTATTTGACAAAATCGGTATAAAAGTCTATTCACCCCCCTCTAGACTTTTACCTTACCTTTTTTTGGGATAAACACATCATGAATTACTTAGTCTTATCTCTACGAATATTCAAATTAGTTCAAGTTATTAAGTTGAGCTTGAACTTGAGTTACAACTTACAAGTTTAATTAAATTTGTGTATGTTGATACTTAAGCAGCTTATCAGTGTGGTAGTAAATTATTTTTAAAAAAAAATTGAGAACATTTTAAAAAATTTTAAACATATATTTCATTAAAAAATTTAAAGTACCGATAAACACTCATGCTTCTTGCACCTGATACAACCCTAAAATGAATAAGAATGACTTTAAATTTGTACCACGGACTATAAAAACTTTGGTACAAACTTAAAAGTCGTTTTAAAAGCACAGATCAATGCCATATACTTTTTATTTTTTTTTATTAATTTATAAATAATTAATCAAAAATAAATACAAAATATTATGGCATAAATAGGAACGTAATGTACCTACTATGATGTAGTACAGTACTGGTCTGATGGGTACCTTTTTTTACTTTTTCAATAAATAATGACTATATTTATTTAATAATTATCCTAAGCAAACCGAACCACCCCAAGTAGTCAGTTCCAAAAATAGAATGTCTAGTTGGAGACAGTCTTTTCCACCCATATGAAGTATTAGGTGAAAATATTACACAGGACAATGGTAATTTTTAATTTTTTTTTCTTTCATAGTATACTATGATTCACATCCTGTAAAATGAAAAACACTATATGTGCTCTTATTTTTTACTCTCATATTTAAAATTTTGATGTAAATATTTTTATAGGGCTCACATAAAGAACATAATATATCAACGCCCGCTACATCAAGAAGTAAATTTGAGAGAGTAAGATTTGAAAGTACATATAGTAGAACTCTTGTAAAATAGGATAAAGTTAATCAAATTTATTGACGTAACTCACTGTTGGAAATTATGAAATTTCCGACCACCTGAAAGTGATTTTAAATTGAGTCGAAAGTCTTGTTCCGACCACTTTTGGTATCCGGAAAAATCTTTGTTGCTATTTCCGACCACTTTTTGCTTTCAACTTGATTTAAAATCACTTTCAGGTGGTCGAAAATTCCATAATTTTCAACAGTGACTTTTTTTTTTTTTTAATATATTAGTTATCTAAACTAATTTTAACCCTTAGAACTCTTGTCTAACAGTTGCTTAAGGAGGTAAATTGCGAGCAGCCATGTTAGTCTCCAACTTCGGACTATGATTGTACACTCTGTGCACAATAGTTCAGCGAACCCTACATGTACACTTTGCACATAATGGGTTTTCATCTCCTTTGATCGGTTAAAACCTCTCAATGACTAGGTTTCTAGTGAGATTCTGTCTCCTACACTGTCTCTGAAGCAAGACTTTAAGGCGGTCGATCGAAACAATTGAACTAGTCCATGGGACTATTTGAAAGCAACTCTTCCGAGACAGAAAATGATAGTTTCATCATATTACATTGGTATTCGTATCCCGCAAAATGATATTAATCCAACCAACCTCTATCAGATCTCATTCAAGAACAACTCTCCGGATGATGGAAAATGGTAGTTTTCCAAAGGTGTATTAAAATGGCATTGAAGTGCGGACTTAAAGCAGTGTGCAGTTTCTGTAAATTATAATAAATATGTATACATTTAGTGCAGTTTCTATTAATAAACTGCGTTTAATGGGAATCCCTGAGAAAATTAAAGATGGGGACTTGAGTAGCTCCTTGTGATGGCAAAAGCCAAAAGAGCAATGGGTCCATATGTTAAACAGCAACCAAAAAAGTTGAAAGTGAGAAACCTGAGAGGGGAGAAAGGAACATATGATGGTCTAAGATAGATGTCTGTCATCCTATTAACAAACAAACAAACAAACTTCCAAAACCTTTGGCAAGTCTCTAATACAACCAATTGGTCAAATCAGCTAACGCAATTAGCCATCAGTTATCAACTATCAGCTAAACCAATCAGTTATCTGCCATTAATTACTAGCTAAACCAATCAGCTATCAACTATCAGCTATCAGCTGTTTGCCAAACACCCGCATAATAGACATAATTTGTTGGAATGGAATTAAGGGAAGAAGAAGAAGGGGAAAGGCAAAATACATGTGAAACTACTGATAAGTAGCCAGCCAACCAGACATACAAACTTGTAATATAAGTAGTGTATATTACAAAAGCAAGAGAAATAACAGTTGTGTCTCAGAAACCACATTACACATGTATACTGAAAAGCTTGATCAGTAAAACCACTGTCCCACCACAATTTTAAGTACTCTTTTGGCCTTTGATTCAGAATGCCACTATTCAAACCTCTCTCATTTTTCTGCACAACAAAAAGACCAATCTTTTAGTAAAAATTTTATTTTGGCCACAAACATTGCTATAAAGAACCATATATTATTGCAGTGAGTGGGGTAACTAATATATATCTCTCTCTCTTTTCCTGCTAAAACTACAAGTTTAAATGTGTGGGAAATTCTACAATTTAAAACCCACAACATAAAAACTTGAATCAAAACTGAAATCTTTGTGGTGCCAAAGGAAAATGCTTAATTATACAGTACAGACACTGTGAAGTAGAATTTCCTTAAAGTTTATAGTGAAAAAAAAAAAAAAAAAAAAAAAAAAAAAAAAAAAACCCACAGATTTTTGGCCTTAAAAGGTGTCACAGATAATGGTAAAAGAGAATTTAAAAGAAATGTGGGTTTAAGGTGAGAGTTGAAATGCATACCACCATTGTGGGTGATGAAGAAGTCATGAGATGAATTGGGGACAGAAATTGAGAGGTGGGGCCCACGGGGTGCTGAGTATTTATCCCCATCCCCAGAATCAAGCCATGAATCTTTGTTTTCTTTAGGCCACTCATCAAAGAAATGGTGCATCACTTTCTTGGGCTGCTGATCTTCTGGGTTCATCATGCCCACACCTACTGTCTTGCTGCCACCACTTCCCCCCAGGCCATAATACTCTTCTCCTTCTTCATCTTCTTCTCCTCCTCCTCCTCCTTGTCTTTGCTGTCTTGAGGCTTCATGAAGGTGCAAATAAGAAGCTGAGTACCCATTCTGAGGACCACAATAATCCCTCTGTTTCAACTGCCCTAAGGGTGGTGAAGCCATTGTCAGTGGAGCCAGCTGCCAAGCACTATCATCTGCTAAATTATTTGAACCAGATATACTACTTCTTATACTCCCAGAACCCTCTGATGAGAAAAACACATGCTCATCCACTTCATCCTTCATTCCATGCCCATACCCATTATTTCTGCATCACCAAAATGCTTGTCAAAAACTAACTTAACTTACCATTCAAACAAATTGACTAATTATCTGGGAGGCAGGATAGCAAGAGATCCACACTTGTAACCACAAAGTTACGAGTTTGAATTTGTGCCCTCGTGATTTGAGCTGGTCAGCTAACTTAGCTGGTTTACTTTTTTGTGGTCATTAAGTTACGAGTTTGAATCCGTGCTCTCATGATTTGAGCTGGTCAGCTAACTTAAGCTGGTTTACCTTTTTATGGTCATTTGCTGGTTAGAATCATACTAATTATTGATATGAAGTGACCAAAAGCACATACCTAGAATAAGCAAGAGAATCAAGGAGGAAATTGGTGGTGTGATCCTGAGAAGAAAGGGCAATGCCCTGATGAGATCTTGAAGGGGTTGAATGGGGATAGAGCAAAGAAGGGGGGGTAGGGGTGTTTTTGTTGATTGAGGAGAAGGGTATAGCTGTAGGGGGTGGTGGGGTTGAGGGTGCTGCTGCTGCTGATGAGGAGGTTGGTGTTACTACAGTGTTGATGACTTCCACAGGCTTTCTTGAACGGTTTCTGCCCCTATGCATGTGTCTCTCACAGTACTTGGAATCTGGGTAGGCCTCTTTTGAGCACCTCCATTTCTTCCCATCTGTTCTCCTACACCTCCCTGGCTCTGGGTCTATCTTCTTCCCAAACCCCATCTGGAAACAGCTCCACCCCACTGCACTCACATCAGATCAACATATTAAAATCCACCATTTACCTTTTTATGCATATTTCAAGTCTACCCATATCATAAAAATCCAATCTTTACCACACCCAAATACAAAATCATGCATAAAGATCCTTTCTTTACAAATATTTCTGCAAAATAATCAAAGAAAGCACAACAAACAGGCCCATTGCTATAGCTTTGTTGGATTGGATTACAGTAAAGAACACATGATGATAAATAAATGAAAGAGAGGATGTGTATATATACTGTGTTGAGGAGGTTGATGGAGGAGGAGCTTGGAGGAGAGGGAAGAATCCAGGCTTCTTCTGATAGAATAGAGAAGATCAGGAGGGACAGGCATGCCTGAGACCATGTATTTGTAAATAAGAGCTTGGTGTTCAAGCTCTTGCCACTGAGTTGCAGTGAATGGCAACCTACTTCTTCCATTGTTCATCATCAAGTGCAAAGATCAGAAGAGGAAGAAAGGAAAAAAGAAAGGGAATTTTGAAGAATTCTCAGAGCAAAAGAAAGAGAGAAAGAGGTGGGGAGTTGGGGAAAGAGGAGGTTTAAGTCTTGAAAGCTGCTGGCATGGGGAGAAAGGAGTGAGTGAGTAGGTATATTTATTTCAGGGACCATTGGGGTTGCAGAATCTACTGTACATGGATGGATTAAAAAAAACACTTGGTTCAAAAACATCATAGTAAATGCATAAATTTATCCAGAAACACACTGACAATTTATGCTTTATTTGTCCCATAATCACATTAATACCAAAAAAAATAAAAATTAGGTACCACAACATGTCAATTAACCTAACAAATGACATAAACTATGTCCAAAATACACCATTCGCAGCCATTATTCGGGAGTAAAAACTCTGTGCAACCGACTCAAATGAAATAATGTTACAAGAATTAATTTTTTTAGAACCATATTTCACTTACTCCGTCACTTCTTTTGAAATTTACTATTATTACTATTATTATTACATATTAAAATGTGTCAAATAGGTCAGAACTTATCACTTTTGTGTATTTGAGTCACTATGAGGTAACCCCAACCAAGATTACAAGAAATTCACACTTGTAACCACAAGGTCACGAGTTCAAATCATTGCCCCCTTAGTTTGAGCCGGTCAGCCTTTGGTCGGCTATATACAGGTAACTTAAATTGGTTTACTTTCTTGTGGTCCTTTGCCTACTATGGTCACAAGGCGGGGTTTACTCAGACTCAAAAGAGTTGTGGGGTTTCCCTCATCATCCAACTATGTAAACAATATGATTAAAAGGTAAAAATCTGAACAAAATACTCCAACTGTATATTTTTATTTACTTGTTTGATGACTCGATTATACAATTTTTAAGTTCAAACTCAATTATACAACAATTATAAATTTAGTAATATATTTGTGACTATTTAAAAAAAAAAAAGTTATTTAAGATATATATGTAAATAATGTTTGTTACATATATCTGTGTGAAGTGTCAGCAGGGTAGATAGTATATACAAATTGGCCACCTCTTAAGTGTCTCAGTCTCTCTCTTACACACACAAAATGACAAAGCTCTGAGCAGTGTACTGTGCCAATATTATGATACTGGGTAGGGTGTAGGTGAGGGTGGGGGTGGGGGTGGGGGTGGGGGTACCTGTGATGCATCTGCTAGGGGATAGCTGATGCTGCAACTATGCTGTCTTTATGGCAGCTATTGTCTCTGACGACTATACGGAAATCCATAAACTAAAAGCTGCATACAAACATACAAAAAAATATGAGAAGAAAAATTATATTTTATTTTATTTTTTTTCTTATATAATAATGGCCTGTAGAGTAAGAGTATATATACGAGTTGGTGACTGTCATCTGAAGCCCACAGTGGTTGGAAGATTGTACGGTTTACATCTTTTACTGCAACTCCATCTGCTGAAAACACCCTTTTTTTTTTTGTATTTTTTATTTTATTTTATTATCTTTTTTTGAAGCTTTTTCATCTCTGTTACTTTTACCAGTCAATCCAATTTACTACTGCTACTACTGTAATTTGACCTTTTCTCAGTGTTGGACTGTTCCTTGTTGTGGACCTCAAATGTTGCATACTTTGAATTCTACACTCCTCAGCTCTCTCCCTGCACTGCCACCCCAATCTTCTTTCTTTCCACCAAATCTTTGTGCTTACACCGGCGTTTGGTTGTTTCTAAGGGCATCACACAAACAAAGATTAATAGGGTGTTTAGTAAATGATAGATTCATCAATTTATTTGATTTTAGCACTATAATTATATTGTTTGGTAGGTAACGAATTGTATTAGAGTAACTTCATTTATAGATTTTCGGGTGAATTTTTTGAAAGGAAAAACAAAATTTTAAGAAATATAATATTAAAAATTAGAGTGGTTCACTAGGTGATGGTCACTCCAAACTTGTTGTCTATTGTTCGATAGCTACCTTGTGCAATAATTATAAAATTGATCTTGTGTTTTTTTTTTTTTTAAATTAAAATCATCAATCATTATTGAACCTTGATGAGTAGATGTGATTATTCCTCACTTTTCTCATTTGAACACTATATTTAGGCTTGCATTAATTTAAGAACCATGCCTTAGGTGCACACAATTTACTACATGAATGTAGATAATCTATTCCTAGGCATGCCTCGATGACGGTGGAGACCCTGAAGTATTTGCGTATGCATTCGTGTAGTAGATTGTGTACACTCATGTAGTTCTCACGTTCTCACCTAAGGTATTGTTCTCATATGATCACTTCCAAGGTGAGAACCTGCGATGTAATCTGGACTCTTCATTTGGCAAGATTTGATGGATACGATGTAATGAGTATTTTAAAATTATTTTTTTAAATTTATTGTGTTAGGGGTATTTAGGTAATTTTTCATATAGTTTCCTTGCTGGCGGGTTCCTTAGAGATTATGCAGCATGATTTTAGGGAATTATAATCATGATTTCAAGGATTTTTTATGGTCGTTTTCCTTCCTTCTTTTGATTTTTTCCAACACCGGTGGTGAATACTCGGCACGGTTTCACGTTTGTTCTCTTTGTTTCTTTTTGTGCTTCGGTGGAGTATGATTTTGATTAGGTTTGTTGATGGATCTGCGATTTTAGGAGGGAGGTGCATCGTAGGACGTTGAGCTGTGCATTAGAGCACAAGGTGTGGTGCATCGTAGGACTATGATGTGCATTAGTTAGAGGGCATCAGGTATCGTTGATGGTGTGAGGTTATGCATTTGTGGACACTACTACAAAAATTAACATATAAGGATGACTTTATTCTAGGTTGTATTATAGTTACTAAAATGCTCTCGAACTCGTCCTCACCGAAAAATGGCCAACTGGCCGGAGCATCAACGAAGGAGACTGGTATCCTCCAACGTAGCAAAAAGAAAACTAAGAGGATATTCTCAGATAGAGAAGGAGAATCCATGGAGGTAACTTTTGAGGGTCAAACATATGGAGAGAGCGGCATGCACAAACCAAATGAAGATCTTACCAACCAACTCTTCGAGGAGATGAACGATTCGGATGCGTCATTTAGAGAAGTTCTTACTAGAAAGAAGGATGGCACTGGAAGCTCTGAAGGGGATGTCTCGGACGATGATGGCGAGGAAAAGGATGATAATGATCCAAACTTCCTGACGATCAAACTTACCAAAGTCCTTGGAAGGGTGGTGGGGTATAGTTACCTTCTTCGGCGCCTGAGGACCATATGGAATCCGAAAGCCGGAATGGATTGGATTGCCATTCAGAACGGTCACCACTTAGTTAGATTTGCCTCGGTTATCGACTATGAACACGCCAAGCTGGGAAGTCCATGGATGGTTCTTGATCAAATACTTAACTTAACAAGGTACACTAAACAAGGTAAATAAACGAGATTAGATAACTTAAATCATCAAATGGGTGTCACCGCCACAGTCACCACACACGATAATTGCACAGGCTAAAGAAAGGGTACTACTAGAGTCAAACTCATCAAAACAACGCTAACTAACTTGGAAACAAACCCCGGTGTCCAAGCACCAACAAAAGATCCAACATCAGTATCTAATCATCAACATTAAAAACAGAAACTATACTAGAATCTAACATCTCATATCTACGCACTATACTAACTCGTACGTGCACAAACATTGGGTCCACCTGAAAGGGGTTATAAAAATAGTAGGAAAATAAACCCATTAGCACAAATGCTAAGTATAAAGCCACTCAACCCTGTAAAGTACAATAGATATAGATTTTGAAAATTATTTGGCAAGCACACTTAAGCTCAAGTACTTACAACACTTAAATAATAAACTCAAATCATGCTCATCAACATTACTATATGCTTGCAACCTATTCAACATATAAACATGATTTCACAAGAACTCAACTTGAACATATTCTCATGCTTTAACACATATTTCTAATCATAGCTCAATACTCAAACTCATGCTCAAACGGATAGATAAAGAGATATATAAACTTAACAAGCAATCTCATGCTATCATGCCAACTCATAAACATCAACAAGGTATTATACTTCTCCTCATTTTCTAATGCAAAACATGCAAGTCATGCAATAAGATAATCATGATGCTTTAAGTATATATATATATATATATATATATATATATATATATATATATATATATATATATATATATATATATATATATATATATATATATACTCTCGCTCTTATGTAAAAAGGATAATTTTTTCTGTGGAGGTTTCTGTTGAGTCACAATGACTCATTTTTCTCTTCTTTCTCTTGAGTCTCTTAACTCGCTTTCTTTTTTTCTTTCTTACTTTCTGTTGAGTCACTTGACTCGCTTTTCTCTTTCTCAATCGTTCTCATGAATCTCTTTACTCTTCTTTGTGCGAGGCAGGTACTCCGCCGTAGCGAACGGTGCAATCTCGTGCAGCCGCCACATCCGTATCAACGGAATCTCTAACTCGTGGGGGAGGTAAGTGTCTGTTTTACAACAAGTGCCTATGAACAAGAGCTAATAATATTGACTTTAGGCGTCTGTTGTTCACAGGGCCTGTTGTGGATTAAGGCGTATGTTCTTTCCAAGAAACAAACGCATAATTAGTTTTTTTTTTTTTTTTTTTTTTAATTTAGACAATAGGCGTCAGACTATTTTACAAATTTGTTTATCCTAGTAATTTCATCATATTCAATATAATCAAATTCAATCATCCACAAATAATCATTCAATCCTACAATAATATTCACAATATAATCCATCAACACAATCCACAATATAAGTAATCTAAACTACATCTTTTCTAATCCACAATATAAGTAATCTAAGCTACAACACAATCCACAAAATACATATTACATATCAATTAAGATGGTCAATATTCGATCAACAAATTTATTACTATATCCACAAACACATATCACACATGATCAGCCAATTATAAGAACACAAAGGCGAACAAAGATTAACAATGTGCACCATGAGCTAAAATGTTCATATATATATGACAAAGTTTATTATCTCAAGTACAATTAAATGTTGCATGAACATAGAACCTTAATTAAGTGGTGCAAGTTGACTAGGCTTATTAAGTAGTTTGGTTAGAC